GCAATTCGGTGGCGGGTCCCTTGGTCCCTCCTGAAGGGAAGGACCTGCCGCTGAAGTGCCGCCGAAGAAGAAAGCGGCGCGGTAGAGCTACCGCCAAACTGCTGCCGATCACGATCGCGGCTTTTTTTTTTCCCTGCCGCTTGGGGTGGCAAAAACCCTGGAGCCAGCCCTGGTCCCTTTGAGTAGTGGAAAGCTGGCTGGTCTAGTCAGTCTGTGTTTGATGGCCTGTTCCCTGTTTGTCTCCTATCATTGATCCAGGCGGTCCCAGAGATCTGGAATGGGAGAACCACAGGTCCTGCAGGGTCCAGTGGGTCTGGTCTAACGTGCACCCCCACACACCAGCACCACTGGGGTCGAATTCAGTTCTCCACGAGAGGACGAAAGGCTGATTTGGGCATTAGCAGCACCCTGGGAGAGAGCTGGGGAAAGGGGAACCTTGAACTAGGAAAAAATAAGAAGCACCTATCAGATAATAGCTGAGAGGTCTGTTCACCTAGGCCTGAAGGACATGGGGTTGGTGCCGCAGTAGGAGGCTCCATTCCCTGTGACTCTGTACAGAGCAGTGCCCAGCGCCGGGCTACGGTTATTGCCGGGGGTGCCAGCTTTCAGGTCTGATGCAAGCACCCCTTGGCCTGTTCTGAGGACAGGAATCCATCTCCAGTAACTCCACTCTGCTCCCCCTGGCACGGCAATGAGTGTGTCCGCGGTCATTGAGCTGCCGTGTGGTGTTTTTCTGAGCTGTGGCACAGCTGCCGCCTTCTGCCCCAGAGGTGGCTGCACAGCACAAGTGAGCAGAGGCTTTCCCGTGGGCATCGCTCTCAGAGATGCTGATTTTTCTCTTTCGTTTTCTCGCTCAGCACGTCCTGCAAAACAACATCACTGCCCTGAAGGATGAAATCACCCAGCTGGGAGGCCGAGGCACCGAGCAAGGACGGGGACAAGGTGAGACGACTGCTCTGAACAGCTCCTGGCTAATGGCCAGGAGAGGTCCTCTCTAAGACAGGGGATGCCTTTCTGGGGTGCATGCGTGGAGCTTCCGGGGCCAGGGTCATGGAAGTGTGAAGCCCCGTGTGCTGGGCCCAGTCCTCTCAGCCAGATCCAAGTAACATTACAGGAGCGGCGGGACCAGGACAAACCCTCCTGCTCAGAGCCAGGAGACCAGGTCACTCCAGGTGGGGGATTTTCTGATGCCCTGAGCCGGGACCTACTTCCCCACTCGTTGGGGGGGACAGGGGACTGGTTGGCTTGTAAGGTTGGTAATTGGCTATGGAGGGCTGGGTGCCCTAGGTGCTGTTTACTGACTGTTACGATAAGCTCAGCCTGGTTCAAAGGGGACAAAGGTCTCCAAGCCAGAAACACCCACCAGAGCCAGCAGCCAGTGGCAGCCCCAGCAGAGAGACCAAGGACTGGGCAGGGCACAGAGGCTGAGCTGTCCTTCCCAGTGTGTCTACATCCACCTGTTCTCTCTTGTCTTCTGCTGAGATTGTTACCTCCATGGGGCAGGGAGCATCTTTTTGTTGTGGGTTTTTACAGCGCCTAGCACCGTGGGGCCCTCGCCCATGGCTGGGGGTCCCAGGCGCTGCCACAATCCTCATCAACTGCAGAAGGCCAAAATCTTCTTGGCCGATAAAGGGATGGGGGAGGTGACTAGGCAGGGCCCAATCCTGTGTTCATCTCAGCACCCAAACCTCTCCTCGGACCCTCAGCCCCATTGACACAGAGGCCTGGCGCAGGGGAAATAGAGGCAGGAGGTACAGTGAGGGAGCTGTCCCCGATGTGCCAGACGGAGGGGTGGGGGTGTCGAGGGGGACATGCTCGAAGGGAGGGGGGAGACGCATGCTGCCTCATCTGACTGGCACTGCCCCGTGTCCCCTCTGTCGTTGTCCAGGTGAAATAGACACGCTCAAACAGCAGCTCCAGGAGGCTCAACGGCACAGGTGAGACCAGCCCGTCCCTGCCCCTTTGGGCTGCGCTGTGGGAGGCCCCTCCCCCAGAGCTCTCTGCTACCATCTCCTTCCCTTTCACTTGTTCCCCCAGTGATAAACTCCAAGCTGACCTCCGGCGGCTGGAACAGCAGCAGCTCCATAGCCCGAAGAACCAGAGCTCTGGTGGGAGCAGCCTCCGGATCCCCCTCGTGGCCGGCTACCTGAACCTGCTGGCTCTGTCCCTCGCCGGGATCCTGCTCCTGTGAGAGAAGCCGGTTCGCACAGGTACTGAGGAGCCTGGAGGTGGACTCGGGTTCAATTCCCGGTCCTGCTGCTCTCTCACCCCCATGCGCTTAGGCTGCAGGGCCCCTTTCTGTCACCTCCACCCGAGACAGCGCCTGTCTTCAGCCACTGCCTCCCCGGGCATGAGAGCGTCCTCCTGCCCTGCAG